ATATTTTTAATAAATTAGAAATATAATAAATAATAAATATAATAAGTTATATTTATGTGTGTATTTTAAAAAATATAAATAAAATATATAATTTAAATATCTTTATAATTAGTAAATATAACAAATTAGTGTGTAATAAATATATTAATTATAATTATAATAATGTATAATGTCAATAATTTATAATAATTATAATTTATAATTTAATAATTTATAATATTAATAACTTAAATATTACATTGATAAAAAGACAAAGTGCATTAAAAGTAAAAATTTATAAAATTGTTTATAGAGCGCAGAGAGTTAATTCTTTCTAACGTTTGGGCCTAGGGAATCAATTCCTTCTAGTGCGTGAGGCGCAGGGAATCCAATGCTTCCATTATAAATACACTCTATGTCCTTTATTCTTTTTATTCACCTTCAGCTTACATTCTAACCTTGTTCATTCCCTTTTTCCCTCCTAAGCCTATCATCTGAATTACGTTTATTTCCTTTCAACCCTTCATAAAATGACTTCTTCAATCTACGTTATTGTTCACTCAGATGGTTCCATTAACTAATGTCTGAATGAAAGAGTCACCTTCTCCTCCCCATCTGCAAAATTATTTCGTATCAAGAAAGGAATTAGAGAATAGGAAGGGAAAAATCATCATGAACAGATTCTTCACCATGTTATATATCCAAGAACATTAGGTCAAAGATAACCCAACAAGGAACATATATAAGAAACTACATGAAGGAAAGGTATGCCAGAATTTCTGCTACGCTTCTTGAAAAGTGAACAGAGGGAGACATTCTTCTGCATCCCTTCAAAGCTTTGATGGGATTGAATTTAAGAAACTTATTAGGTACAAAGGGTCTAGCAATTTCATTGAATACAATCTCCAAAGTGGTCACAAATCACTGACCCAAATTTGTCAAGCAATGGTAGCTGACGCAGATCGTTCATTGTGTTCACATAGGAGTTAGTAATGCATGGAGTAGATTGGTGAGGATGATGATCACTCAGATTTGACCCTCAGCCTCAGCTAGAAACCTTTGTATGCAACTGTCTTTTATCTGAATACTATTGTACGATCTTCATTCTTATTGTATATTAATACGGTGTAAAGAAAATGCTAACACAATTTTTCTCAAATAAGGTCTCAAAACATCATTCACCAAAGCTTGGAAAGTTGATAGTGCATTTATAAACCCAAAAGGTCTTGTCACAAATCCGTAATGCCCCTCTCGAGTTCTAACTTCTATAAGCATTTTTCTCTCTGTCATTTTCTTTTATTTGAATCTTGTGGTATCCATATTTAACATCCAACTTAGAAAAAATGGAAGCTCCAACTCCAACTAATCATCTATTATCAGGATAGGAAACTTGTTTGGCACCATAATTCTGTTTAGAGCACGGTAATTCAACAAAACCTCCAACTACCATATTTCTTTTTCACTAATACAAAAGGGCTTGCATAAGGGCTCACATTTGTCTGATGATTCCAACCTTAAGCATCTCATTGACTAATTTTCTATCTCTGTTTTCTGATAATAGGAGAATCTATAAGGCTTTAGATTTGGAATAATTGATTCCCCCTCCTTAATGTTGTGTTTGGATAAATCATTTCTAAAATTCAAGGACCTTGGTACGTTTCATTTTACTTTAAGCCGAGGTCGAGTTCGAACTTTGGTACGATTCATTTTACTTTAAGCCGAGGTCGAGTTCGAACCTTGGTACGATTCATTTTACTTTAAGCCGAGATTGAGTTCGAACCTTGGTACGATCGATTTTACCTTAGGCCGAGGTCGAGTTTGAACATCGGTACAAATTATCCAACACTGAGGTCGAGCCCGAACCTCGTGGTCAAAACTTCATCCAAGGCCGAATTCGAGCCTTAATGTTACCTTATCTTAAACCAAAGTCGAATTCGAACCTTAGTGTGAATTATTCTATCTCAAGTTGAGGTCGAGCTCGAACCTTAGCATAAATTACTCTATCCTACCCGAGGTCGAGTTCGAACCTTAGGGCAAACCACTTTAAACCAAGCCACGTTTAAGCGTGTTCTCAAACCACAAATACAGGCGAAAGCTAAGCCTAACACATGAGCACAAAAATTAGAGGTCAAAATAAAACCATCAAAAGCGCAAAGACAAAATCTCAGAAAAATGATATATACACAACAAGGTTTATGAGTTCAAAAGCATAAATCTGAAAAGAAAATACATGAAATGAACTAAGCTATTACAAAGCCCAAATGGCCTAAGTAGAGGCATTATCACTCGAGCTGCCCGGGAGGTCGTCTTCCTTTACTAGCAGCCCAAAGCGCACTTCCTTCTCCACATGCATGGCCGAGAGGTCGACTCCAGGAGCAAGTAGCCTCGCCTGCCGAACTGCCTTCACGAAACCCTTCTTGTGCTCCACCAAAATGTGTCGCTCGGTTTCGACGAGTCACCTCTCCAGCTCCGCCTTTGCCGTGGCCATCTTGTCAAGATCAGCCCTTTTATTTTTTTTATTATATATATATATATATATATATTTTTTTTTTTTTTTTGAAAAATGAATTCATTTGTAACATTTTGTGATCTTAAAATTAGGACAATGATTTTTAAATTTTACATTATAAATGAATTGTGAAATTTTGATAATTAATTTGGCTTAATCATTCTCACGTTTGGCAATCTATAAATTTTGAACTCGGACACGCGCTAGGCGACGTCAGCCCGACATCTAAATAGGTCATAACTGATCTCAGGTCCAAGGCCTAATGAAACCGTAATTCACACAAAGGTACGTGCATTACTTATACGAGACTCATACACCCACAAACACTAACTTTCGCATCAGAGTCTCTTTTGCAGGTACCACCCCCACCTTGGAACAACAAGCATACCCAGTAAAGGAGGCTCATCGATCTTACTCAGCAGATCGTCCCCTACGACCGATCTCCGGTAAGAACTTTGGCGCCCACCGTGGGGCCGATCAAGACAGCTCTTATCGGCCACGCTTATGATTTTTACCCGAAGCCATAGTAGACGAGCAACAGACGACGTAGATCGCACGACAAGCATGGACAACGAAGCAGCATTGAGAAGGCTGATCGAGCAGGTCGAACAAATGCAGCAGCAACACACCGCCGATCTGTAAAATATTTGTGCCAAGCACGAAACTGACCTAACGGCCTGCGTACCGCGAACGAGGCTGACCTAGCGGCGCTGCACGCCGAGAATGAGCGTATTCACGCCCAGCTTCCTCGGCACCCCTCTGATCAACCCCCTCCACCGAGTAGTCAACATGAAGAGGAGGGGCACTCGGTCTCTCAACCCCCAACTGCACCTAGGGCACCGAATCCCCGGCCTGCCACACATTGGTCGCACGCACCAACGAACAGGTCGGCCCATGAAGTCAGCAATGCTCCTGCCCAGGGCCCTGGAAATCGGGCGAGCATTCGTCGCCATCCCTTTGTGGACGACATCATGGAGACACCTCTACCTTTTGGCTGGAAGCCCCTCCACCTCGACCGCTACCACGGCACGATGGATCCAGACGAGCACATCGACCTATACGTCACGCAGGTAAA